AACATTCCCAGGGGGCAGATATTATCCTTATGTTAAAGGTGATGTCACAAAAGGTTTACAGAGTTTAACAGTCTGCATAAAGTGAAAAAGCTGGTTAACAGCTAGACCTGGAGATCCAACCCAAGTTGAATCAGATTCCAAAGTCCATGCTCTTTCCACTCATCATGCTGGATCTGCAAGGAAAATCCAATACATTTATCTAGAACAGACACCAGTTTCAAAGTTAGCAACCTATAGCTAACAGTTAAAGGCTCACAGACAGGCTAGCCTTTTTTTGCTTTCAACACTGTCCTTTTTTGTCCCTTTCAAAGTCAAAAGCACTTAGTAGTTCCCTGATAAGTTCCCTTATAAATATAACGGCCCTTTTAATTTTACAGGTAGAGGATTTCAAATGATGTGACCCATTTAATTACTGAACTGTTCTCATTTAAAGTTACACTGTGTGGGTGCCTGGGTGGCTCAGTCAGTTAACCGTCTGACTTTGGCTCAGGTCATGATCTCACAGCTTTTTGGTTAGAGCCCCATGTCGGGCTCTGTGCTGACAGCTCAGAGCCTGGAGCCTGCTTGGGATTCTGTGTCTCCCTCTCTCTCTGCCCATCCCCCCCCTCAAAATGAACAAACATTAAAAAATATTTTTTAAATATATAAAGTTACACTGTGAAGAACCAACAACAAATAATGAATTCTTTTTATATAGTTCTATACTTCAGCCATATAAACAGAAACTACACGAGGCCTTGAAGAGCTTTTCCTTGCCTTGAAAAGATGTCTTTGAGTCCTTCCAGCATATAACCACCTAGCATCTTACCCTTCCAACCAAGAAGAATTGTTAATGAAGTTCCATGAAGACACCTTCAGGCATGGGGATCAATGTATCTAGTGTGCCCAGGGCTTTCCCAGTTTCAGCATGGAGAGTCCTACATCCTGAACTTCCTCAGTCCCAGGAAAACCTGGAGGAATAGTCACTCTACGGCCTCGGGGTACCATATAAATGCATACTTAGGTCTTCAATAAGACTTGCTAAAATGTGAGCAGTTGGGGCGCCTGGGTGGCTCAGTTGGTTAAGCGTCCAACTTCAGCTCAGGTCATGATCTCGCAGTTTGTGAGTTCGAGCCTGGCGTTGGGCTCTGTGCTGACAGCTCGGAGCCTGGAGCCTGCTTCAGATTCTGTGTCTCCTTCTCTCTCTGCCCCTCCCCACTTGTGCTCTGTCTCTATCAAAAATAAATAAAACTAAAATGTGAGCAGTTTATAGTAAATTGGAGATGACATTATAAAATATGATATTAATATATTTAAGCAGCTAAGCAAAAAGGAATTACAAAGGTCTACATATTCATGTTTAACCAAGAGAATATTGCTGACAACATCAAAAGGTTGTCAAACTCTTCATTGTGATTTATTCAAACATGTCTACCAGCATTCATATTTGCCAGTTAAAAAAACAAGCTGAGAACAGCACATATACAACATGTGTATACAACGAACAGTTCATCTACACATAAAACTGAGACACTATATGGGCAAAGAATGACAGGGGAATCAACTTCCATCCAAGAATGTTAAAGTACCAAATCTCTGTGAAATGGTGAAGCCTAATTTTGAAGTTTTGGCTTTGTGGTTATCATGATTGGCTAAAAACTCTTGCAAGAGTAGAAACAGGAAATCTGTAAATTAAACACAAGGTACACACTTCAGTCCTTTCTAACTTGAACATTCCATGACTCAAGTTCATCACTATGTGAACCCCTTTACTTTACAGGTGAAGCGAGTCAGGCTGGAGAGTTACATGACATTCAGAGGCTCCAGCTCTGCCTGGTGATAGAACCTGGACTACTTACGAGCCATGCTCTCATCGTAATTATATTTAACAACACTTGGATCAGAAGAGCAATGATCAGAATAAAAAGATAAAGGACACATTTCACCTCATGCAGGATATTTTACTTAGTTTAGCTCATAAACAGATAAGTGGGCCTTAAGTTTTTTAAAAAGGGAGTCTAGAAACTTTTCAACTGTCCTTAGTTACTTCAACCATATAATAGCAACATATTCTGAATAAACGCACAGTACTTCTTTTCACAAACTCTCCAAACAAGCCAAAGGAATGAACACAGTAACTTAAAAAAGAGAACAAACATCTTTGTAGTTTGAAGAACTACAGAAAACTTTCCAAACCAATTACTGCGTGTTGTCCAGATGTCCTAGCATCAGAGTCTTGTAAGCAAAGCAAACAAGCATCTGACCAGGGTAAGGAGTGTCAGGAACAATCAGGAAGCTTGGTGTTTCTTTATTCTGACAACTTTACTTTCAGAAATAAGAGAGATTTCAGAAGAGCATAGAGGTGTACAGGCACTTCCTTTCGGTCAACGTGTTACTATTCCTTAATCTGGGAAGACCCCCAAATAAGATAAACATGAAAATCTGCCTTCAAGGGAAAAAATGGATTGTTTTAGGTAACAGGTACATACGGAGTTATTTCTCAATCACACTTGTGACTTTATGCTGATCCATCTATAAGCCAGTCCTGGGCCTCTTTAACCAGTGATACTGACCATTCACAAACAATAGGTTTAGGGGTACAATCTGTGGCTGTGACGCTGACCAGAGCTTGCTGAGCAACACCACTCTACCTTGGCTTCATTAGCACACCTTTCTGACAAGAGGCAGCAGTGGATACTACTACAGAAGGCCAGAGCTGCTGTGCTAAGGGACCTTGGGAAACCACTAAAACTTCCCAGCTCTCAGTTTCCTGTTTGCATCATCTGTAGAACGACGTTAATAATTTCACACACTGTAGGTGTATTAAGTTAAACTAAAAATACATAAATACATGAAAGGGCTTTGTAAGTCATAGTTATAATACTTATAATACATTATTTCACCACCTGAGTTGGCAAAAGACTATTTCTGACATAACCAAACCGACCCTGGGGTCATGGGAGTTCATACATAATCTATCACAAAAGTCTGTTAATAAAATATTTAAATACACAATAAATAGCTGTAAATTCAAAAGTCAAGTCCAGCAAAGCACTAACTATAAAGAGATAGGCAGGCAGAGATAGGTAGAATTCTTCAGTATTATAGCAGTTAGAATGGTTTATTACTTGGGCCTTATGCTAGAAATCACGAGGGATTTTTCTTTAATGCCAATTTTATACATGCTCTCACAGGCCTTCAGCATAAAGATGCTCGCTCATTAACCACTACTTATGTGCGAATATGGCTCCCAAATACTTCTTCAATGCTACCACTTTTTACTTGTGTGCTTTTCAATCTAAAATGCCAGATCAACACAGCCTCCCAGCTATAGCCATATCTTATTTACATAAAGAGTAGAATGGCCAAGAAATTGTGGTTTATATACACAATGGAATACTACGTGGCAATGAGAAAAAATGAAATCTGGCCATTTGTAGCAACGTGGATGGAACTGGAGAGTGTGATGCTAAGTGAAATAAGCCATACAGAGAAAGACAGATACCATATGGTTTCACTCTTATGTGGATCCTGAGAAACTTAACAGGAACCCATGGGGGAGGGGAAGGAAAAAAAAAAAAAAGGAGGTTAGAGTGGGAGAGAGCCAAAGCATAAGAGACTGTTGAGAACTGAGAACAAACTAAGGGTTGATGGGGGGTGGGAGGGAGGAGAGGGTGGGTGATGGGTATTGAGGAGGGCACCTTTTGGGATGAGCACTGGGTGTTGTATGGAAACCAATTTGACAATAAATTTCATATATAAATTAAAAAAAATAAAAAAATAAAATAAAATAAAATTAATTGAAAAAAAAAAAAAGAGTAGAATGGCATGGAAAAACCCACCACATCCACAGCCATCTACCACTACAAAGAAAAAGCAGAATGAAACACCTTCCCAAGAGACAAAATGTTCCCCCTCAGTTTCCCAAACTCACAAACACCAAAGGAACATAAATAATACCGTTTTCAAACAGAGGATGACTCTATCAACTAAAACATAACCAAAACCCTACGTTGGAATGCTCACATTAAAAGGTCCTTCATACAATTATCCTTGGACTACTTTAAAAATTAAGTTTTGCAATATGAAATCGGTACAACTTAACTTGGAATTGTGAGTGGAAACAAGGTATGAGAAATACATTAAGTATTTTTCCTCTTTTGGAGACTTACCGAAATTCTTGCAGCAGGAAAGCCTGCAGAATCTAACAAAAAATTTCTGAAAATTGGGACTATATTTTCAGTTAACCCAAAACAGTCTTAAGTGAAGCCAATCGCTCTTAAATACACTTGCCCTAATTTCTCTCACAGACCTGATGTTTTCTTGCAACAACATCAAACTATTGTGGGATATAGGTAATCTTTTCCTTTTAAAGATTACATAATTTCTTCCTAAATGGTATTGATGTCCGAGGCTAAATCAAAAACACTAAAATAGAAATAGAAATGCTAGATATCCACTTTTAAAGCGATTGAAACTGTTTAATTTTCAGAGAGTTGTATCTCAGGAGTGACTCTCAATAAATTACTCAGAATTATCAAATAGCAAACACTTCATGCTCAGCCCAAGTAAAGGAGGTGAGTCATATTCTAACAGTAAAGGCAAGGACAAGAACTAAATGACTTTTTAAAGGTTAACTTTTCTCATTCTCTTAATATTCTCCAGGTTCGGTTGCCGTGTTGATATCAGATCGTAGCCCGAGGAAGCATATTTATCTCAACTATCAGCGCCCCAGCGAGTTCTATCCCGGGGGAGGGGGGGGGGAGGGGGGACCGCCCGCAAAAATACCCAACTTAAGAAACAACCACAGAACACAAAACTCAGAAAGCACCAGCTTCCACCACCCCACCCCACCTTGCTCCTTTCTTCTGCTATTCCATTCGTGGTTCATTTTCAAGACAAAAGCAAAGAAACCTGTTGGAATGAAGTTTTCAAAGATAAATACGTTGAGGCAGAAATAAGTTGCTCTAAGAATGCTGTCGACCCATTCATTTACATACAGCCACAGAAAATACACCCACATGTATTTCGATCAGCGAAGATGTGACCTGGTGATTTGAAGAGAAGATGGGATCTAAAACAAGTCCCAGAGACGGCTACTTTCCCAAGAGAAAAAAATAATAATGTGGCTCTTCACCCAGGCAGCTTCAGAGACGCGGGCTCCGCAACTCTAGAGGTGCAGAAATTCAAACGAACGCCTGCCACTCACAAGTACAGCATCTCCGGGACCAGGCAGGGCTCGGCCCCGGTAATCCCACCCACTGCGCGCTCCACTTCGCCGAGCAGTCCAAACGGCCCCAGGCCGGGGTGTGCTGGCTGCCCCACCCAGAGGCCGAGGGGGAAGCGAGCCGCGAAAAAGATACGCGGGCAGGAGAGCGAGCAGGAGCGCGGAGCTCCGGGAGCTACAGCTCGAGGCGGCAGGGAGGCGGGCTCACCTGGCGCGGGGGGCGGCTGGGCGCGCGCGCCGCCGCCGCTGCTCCC